CCGGCATACCCTTCCCCGTCATATGTGATGCTGCTAAGGAACACGTTCCGCTGTGCTGGTTTTCCCAGGGCCCGGCTGCCAGCCACACAAGGGTACAAAGTGAGGAACACAAGCTGATGGTGGGCTAGGAGAGCACTCAAGGATGGAATACCCATGTGCCCACTGACCTTGGAGAGCTGAGTGGGCAGTGCCAGCGTCTCTGGGCTTTAATTTGAACAAATGAGGAGTCAGGGTAGTGGCAGGTGGTGAACTACCCCCACCCCGCATACACAGGGTCCCCATGAGCTTTGTCCCTATTCACTTGGCAGACGTTTGTGTGGGGCCCGCTGCTCAGCTGCAGATGAGCCCTCCAAAAACCACTTTGTATCTGCAGTCCTTTTAGCAGGGTGAGTTTGGAACGAGGCCCATGGTTTGAGGCAGTTGGCAGGATCTCTGAAGATGCACTCCAATTAGTCCCATGTTTTCTTATTTTTATAAGTGACTCTAGGCCGGGTTTTCCTCTCTGAAGTATGAAATGGATCGGTGCAGCTGCAATATTCACAAGTTTACACTTCTCTCTTCCTTTCATCCTGGGTCGACTGATCACACATGAGTCAGCTCCTGTTGGCTGGAAGGGAGCTGGTAGCCAATGCCCACAGAGGAGGGAGGACTAGCCTGGGACCTGGAACCAGAGGTAGGGCATACATAGCATAGGATGGCTGTGGCCACACCAGGCACTGTGGGAGGATAGAGTGTGAGTGTGAGCAGGTGGTGGTGGGGAGATGGTCTGGGGCACAGGAATAGGACAGGGCAGAGTCCAGCGTCCAACCGGCTACTGTTCTGATCTGTGACTGGACTGGACTTTGCTGCTCAGGCTCTTTGCTCTTGTGTCGAAACCTCAGAGGCAAGAGCACTAGTCTCTTGCAGGGGGAAGATTGGTGATGTAGATGGCCTGAGTAAGCACTGGGACCACATGCTTGGGTGTGGGTGCCCAGCCAGCATGCTGACTGCCTTTCCAGGGAGTGTTGTTTAGTTTCAGTGAGAAAGGCCTGGGGGCAGGGAGGTTCTCAGGCTTTCATGGGAAGGGGCTATGCAGCCACCTCAGACTGCTGACAGCTGAGGCTGGATGACTCATACTGAGCACTCTGGGCCCTGTCACCTGGAGACCCTTCCCAGGCCTCTTCTCTAGCAGCCTACCTGGGTCTTCTTCCCTTTAAATACAGATGCATGGAAATTATTAAATCAGGTACCTAGAAGGTGAATGTGTTCAGAGCTTTCTTCAGCACCATCTTAACTCTCTTTATGTGCATCCGTCCTTTTGGAAGCAGTTTTGGGTGACTGAGGATGGAGTGCATTGGCAAAGTTCCATTCCCAGCACTCCCAATAATGAAAACAAGGCCTCGTTGGCACACTGTTCCTGGAGGTGGTAGTACCCCTGTGATTAAGAAAAATTACCTTTGATTTTTATTTTTAATTATATGTATACATGTGTTGGAGTGTTGATTTATACACACAGGTAGTCCCAGTGGTGGTCAGAAGAGGGTGTCCACTCCCCTGGAGCTGGAGTCACAGGTGGTTGTCAGCCACCTGAGATGTGGCTGGGACCCCAACTTAGGTCCTCTGGAAGAGCAGTACATCCTCTTAACCACTGAACCATCTCTTCAGCCCCTGCATCCCTATAATTCAGGAGCTGGGCTGGAGGTGGCTCTAAATTGGAAACTCACAGAGGGGCACATTGTGCCTGCCACTGTCTTGTGCTGTGAGATGGGAGGAAGTGAATGGCAAAAGTGGGAGTCAGGGCTGAGCAACAAGGTAGGGTGAGGCAGGGCATGTAGCCTGTTCTGTTGGGCCAAGCACTGGCAGTGGCTGGGAGGGGATGCAGGTTCACCAGGGGAAGAGGATAGGCCTGGGGTTGGGTGGGGCAGTGTGTGTTATGAGTCTGAGTTTGTAGAATCAAATGAAAGACCTCTCTGTTTGCTCTGAACATTGTGGTGTGAGCCACTCTTCTCTGCAGCCCCTTCAGAAGTAGCATGACTCAAAACCAAAATGGCAAATAGAAGTTTTGGCAAAACAGAAGCAGAGTGGGTCCCAAGTCCCAAGCAGGAGGCAGATGGCCCTCAGTGGTGGATAGGTATGTTTGCGGGTTGCATGGATGTATATGGCAGGGAAAGATGGGTCCAGGCTGCTAGGAAAGAGCCCTGAGAAAAGGCAGCTCACATGACCCACTTGCTACTGAGGAGCTTCATGCCTGGCAGCCCTGAGCTGCAGGCTGCAGCAGAGGTCCAGGTGGGCTTCACCTCAGCAGAGCAGGCTCCACATACTATCCCCGTTGCACTCGACCACAGTGGGACTGCATGATGGACCTGGCTCGCCTGGGCTGGCAGCAGTAAAGGCCATGCTTACTGTAAAGACAGCTTATAGCTCTCGCTGGAGGAAGCAGTGGCTCTGTTTGGATCTGCAGCAGACTGTGAGATTGTATCAAAGCAATTTGGAAGAGGCCAGTTTTCCACTGAGTGCCACAGGTACGAAGCTAAATCTGATAGGATCCGCCTGTGGCAAGCAGGAAAGGTCACACTTAGCAGATCAAAGGAAGGAGGTAGAGAAATAGGTTAGAGAAATCCACAACAGATCAAGGTTGCTTCCACACTCTGAGGAAGTGGAAGTTGGCTGTGCAGTGGGACAGAACACAGGGTGTAGCACAAGCACTTAAATATCTGGAGATGCCGCAGACACAGAGAGAAGTGAGAGATGGAGATGGAAGATCGATCATGGCACATCCAAAAGGAGTACCACGATAGTGTCAGTGTCAGCCACGAGAACCTTGTTTGTCCACTGGGAAGATGCAACTCACATGGATAGTCAGACTCTGGTGCTGGAAATGCTCGTGTCCTGGTGATATGGGTTGCAGGTGTTTACTATGAAGCCCTGAGACAGAAGATAGAGAAATAAAAGAGGGCTGTCCATCATCACCAGATAAGAGTGGGAAGATGCCCTGTGAAGCTGTCATGACAAAGTGCAGATATATTTGGCTGTTGGCTTGGGATCTCCAGAAGAGCAGGACTGATAGGTTTCCTCTCTTTACCTGGAGATGTCATGTTTGGTTGGTTATAAGGGGCACATGACCATGGAGGCCAAGAATACCCAAGTCTGCATGTGTGTCTTTATGCCAGAGATGTTTTAAAAGATTTAATATTTATTTGTATGTATGTGTGCCTGCATGAAAACTCATGTGCACCATGTGCATGCAGGTGCCTGCAGAGATCAAAAAGCATTGGATTCTCTGGAGCTGGAGTTACAGGTAGTTGTGAACTACCTGACCTGATGTTAGGTGCTGGGAACCAAACCTAGCTCCTCTGCAGGAGCAGTACATGCTTTTAACTTCCGAGCCGCCTCTTCAGCCCCAACTAAAGATTTTTACAAGCCCATAGTAGAATTCAGTATGTTTGAAAGTCTGAGCTGTTGGGAACTGAAGGAGGGAGGCCAGTCCAGGGACAGAGGAAGAGATGATGAACTACCCAACTCAGTGAGCAAGGTGGACTGGGAGGAGTCCACTGCCTTGTTCTTTGTTTTGCCCAGGTCTCAGGGATGAGTGCTGTTGCCCATACTGGGTAGGGCAGCTGTCCTAAGGCTCTGAATCAGTGCTGAGCCAGGAGAATGACCAAGCCACTGTTTCATCTGGGCACATGGCCCAGCAACTGAATAGGTGGAATTGACTATCACCAACTGTGAAAACCTACCAAGTGAGAGTGACGTACCTGACTAGTCAGACACTCAATGCAACACACATGGTATGCTCTAGCACAAGAAAGTGTGGGTACAATATTAAGCAAGAGTTGTAAGAGCAGCCATACGTACAGCACAAATCTCCTTGAATATCAAGATACACAAAAGGAAACAAGCTAACAAGCCATAAGACAAGAAAGCAAGAGAGCATAATGCAACAGAAATAAATATAGACAAATAGCAAGATATAAATGGGCTAAACTCTCCTACTAAAAGGAGAAGGCTCTGATGAGCTCCTTGTAGAATCAAAGAAATTGGAACAGGTGGCTGCCAAGGCCACTTGGCATTCGTGAGCATTTGAGCTATTCATGTCTAGCCTGAATTCCAGCCATAAAGCATTGCAGGAAGTGGGCAGATAGGCCTCAGTACTGAAGGTGCATACGGACATCTGCGCACCACTCTTCAGGGAATGTGGAAGTATAGAAAGAAGTGTCTTCTCTCTGATCCACGAAACAGTGCGTGTGTGTGTGCGTGTGTGTGTGTGCGTGCGTGCGTGCGTGTGTGTGTGTGTGTGTATCAAGAGCTCTCTCCAAAGCTAGAGAGCCTGCTTTTGAGAAAGACTCTAAGAAAACCTTTATAGGAACAGTGAGATGGTTCAGCAGGTAAAGGCACTTTTGCACACTGACCACCTGAGTTTGATCTCTGTGACTCACATGGAGGAAGGAGAGAACCAACCCCAGCACTTTGCCCTCTGTCTTCCATATGTGTGCTGTGGCTACATGCTTGTGCACACACATGCACATACACTGGCCACTTACTGTAGTATCACACAACAGGCTTCTGCCTTGCCACGTCCTCTAACAAAACAAGGGCGGGTGCATCCAACACAACTAGTTTCAGAGTGCCCTGTAGAAGAAAATGCTCTGACAATTCCACTGTACCCAAGCTAAGGTAAAGCTAGACTGATCTCTCCAGTCACTCTGACCCTGTCTTCCCCAGAGGCTTTGATTGCCCCCTTCAACAACACCCCCAGATGACTGTGTGTCTCCCTGGTCAATCTGCACACAGGAGTGCCAGGGAAGAGAAAGGGCCGTGACTATATTTGCACAACTCAGAATGCCTTGTGGCCTGGCAGATCCAGGCTCCTGGGAAGGCCAGGCACTGCCCCCAACACCCCTCAGCCATCCCCAGCACAGGGTGGGCATCCAGTGGATGTTCAGATGTAGACTTTAGTACTCTGGGGACCTGGGCCGTCGATTCCTACACCTGCTGACTCCTTTTCCTATGTTTCCTTATAGCTGGAGATGGAGCTGAAGATGCTGAAGTCACAGCCGAGCTCAGCTGAGGCCAGCTTCCGGTTCTGTAGAGAGGAGGTGGATGCACTCAGGTATGTTGTTCTCTCTCAGCCTCCTTGTCTGCCCGAAGGCGTTCGTTTCTGTTAACACTCTGCCTGCCCAGGGCCTTGTCTATACTGGGCCTTTTCCAGTGTGCTGTTCCAGGCCAGCACCAACAGCTGGCCTCTCAGCATCCGTCCATCATGCTCAGCACCAGACACTCCTATCAGGGCATCCTTGGGGACCCACCTTCCTGCCAGCAGCATGAAACACCAGGCTGGGCCCCTTGTGTGAGTGCTGGCTCTGGAGGTAGGCAAGGGAACACGTGGGCACTGGTATGTTGAGGGATGCAGACAAATGTCTTTCAGAGAGTTCCTCAGAGAAGAAACTCACAGGCGGGGCAAGTGTCCAGTGTAATTGTCAGAGGGCAGCTTTGGTACATGTTTGGAGACAGCCTTTGCGTGCGTGCGTGCGTGCGTGCGTGCGTGCATGTGTGTGTGTATGTGCATGCACACATGTTGAGACCAGAAGACCACTTCAAGTATCTTCTTCAGTTGCTCCACCTGAGTTATTTTTTTAAATATTTTATTATTTTTATTTTATGTGTATGAGTCTATTGCCTGCATGTATGTAAATACACCCATGTCCTTCAATGATCATGGAGTTCAGAGGAGGGCATCAGATTCCCTGGAACTGGAGTTACAGACCATTGTTAGCTGCCATGTGGGCCCTCTGCAAGAATAGCAAGTGCTTTTAACCTCGGAACCATCTCTCCAGCCCCTCTACTTTAGTTTTTAAGTCAGTCTTACTGAACCTGGAGCTTTCCAATTAGCTAGACTGGCTGGCCAGTGAGCTCCAGGAATTACCCTGTCTCTGCCTCCCCAGCCCTGGGATTGCCGGTGCATGCTGCCACATCCAGCTTTTCATGTAGGTGCTGGGATCCAAACTCTGAACTGCCCCTTAGCTTCTCCTTGGCCAGCGTAGACCCTGCCATTCTAGTTTCTGTCTGAAGTGGCCGTGGGGTGGCTATCCCCCTCTCCTCACATCTTATGAGAGATGGCAGAGCAAGTATTACAACAAGGCTGCCCTGTAAGCCTCCTCTCTGCCTTGTGGCCAAGACTTGGTTCCCGGGGGCTGCTTCTGGCTGGTGAGGAACATGGGACCTAGGGACAAGAACGGCCCAGTGGACACTGAGTGGCCCATGGATGAGGTGGCATGGAGCTTGATGAGGAAACAGTCCTTCCTGGCTAGATTGTTGGAGTCCCAGAAGACAATGGGGGTCCAGCTGGCTATGGAGATGACCTTCCTCAGTTACACTCTTGCCACTTCTCTGTGCTTTGGTAAAGGCTTGTGATTCCCTGCTTTGCGGGGCTCTTGAGGTCAAAGCAAGGAAGGCTTGCAGGGCCTCTTATCCTGCAGGCCAGGGAGCGTTCAGTGGACAACAGTGAGGTCCCTTCTGGGCTGGAGGTTCCCCCTCATTACCAAAGCCTTCTCACATAGACCCAGGCCTGGGAAGTAGCTCTTTGGAGACACTGTGCACGGCACTGTTTGTTTGATTCTTCCCAGCATGGTGCACTGTCACGACTGAGCAGGGTGGATGATAGACTTCAGGCACAACCATGTGTTCCATCTTCTTCAGCTCCCAGCTTAATGGGAACTTGAGGGCATTATTCACGGGACTTATGGTCACATAATTATGGCTGGTACTGTGAGAGCTGGTGTCTGGGGACAGGGTCTCTGGCATATGCATCTGGATGCAGGAGAGGCATGGTGCTGTGGCTGGGTGAATAGAGAACTGGCCTGATCATGGTGAGTTTGTGGATCCTCATCCCGAGAGTGGTGGGAAGCCAACAGTCATTTTCAAACAGAAAAGCAGCATGATCTGATTTGTAGCATTAGGCATCACTGGCTACCTGGGCTAGGCAGAGGAACTTGGCAAGGCTGGGCAGCAGTGCCCTGGCCAAGTGTTGGCTGTGTGACCCAGTCAAACTGGAGAGGTTGCTCTGGGAGGCATCAAACACGCCTCCCAGTGGTGCCCCACATCCATTCTGTGATAAAGGCTCTAGCAGCTCAGAGAGGCGAGCAGGGGGCGTTCAAGTGAGACCTGGAAGTGTGTTCTGTGTGGGTTTCAAGTGCATGCAGCCAGGGCGGCAGAAGCACAGCAGCTTCCATTGTGTCTGCTTGGGAGAGGTTCAGGCAGGGGTGCGTTACCTAGGACTGGGGAGGCGAGGCAAAGCTCTGGCTGGCCTGCACGATCCTGGGGGCACTTTGTGTCCTCAGCCCCGTGTCATCAGCTGGTGGGCTTGGGTTTGTGTGTCAGCAGGTGTCAAGGCTGCAGTCAGACCTGCTGTGGGGTCCAGCAGCTCCACTCCACTTTCCTCTTGCCATGGGTACCTTGTTCTCTGTGGGCCTCTTCTGTGCCTGGCAGGAGTGTGGCTGGAACAGTGTCAGATTTGTGGGAAGGAGCCAGCACACTTCAGGTTTGTCAGTTTTTTAATTTTACAGAGGGGCTCCACCACTGACATCTTCCACACTAAGATCAAAGGCTCCTGTCCCCACTGCCTCCTGTGGAGAATGCAACTGGAGCAAGGTGCCTTTGTAGCTGGTACAAGAACTGAGGCACTGTGTGTTGGGAAGGGCTGTGGGAGACACTGCCACTCCCTTAGTAACACCCCCTCAGAGTTCTTCTTCCTCCCAGCTGAGGGTAGAGCCAGCTCTCTCACAGGTACTGGGGCCCAGGTGGCTGCTGTGGGCTTGGAGTACATGTGACAGAGAAGCCTGGGTGAGCATTGGCTCTGTATGATGGGCTCAGTTATGGAACCCATGCCACATCCCCCAGCTTCTCAGGGATGGCTCAGGCTTTACTGAGCATGCCGGTGGCCAGGGTACCTGCCTGGCCTCTTTGCTCCTTGTGCCTGGCATGGGTCTCCTGAGCCCTGTCTCCCACAGGGCAGGCTGCTGGCTCTTCTACCCCTGCCCTTCTGCCCCTCTCAGCACTTCCTCACTGGCACCACCCACTTTAACTTTCCAAATGTGTCAGACTCATGGCGGACATACGGTGTATCACAGTGGGTTTAGTGTACCTCTAGGTGATATCTGCTTCTGTCCAAGTATCTTTTCTATTATTTTTATTTTATATGTATGGATGTATTGCCTGAATGTACGTAAATGCACTTGTGTCATGCAGTGCCTGCAGAGGTCAGAAGAAGGTGTCGGAATGGAAGGACAATTGTTAGCTGCCATGTGGGTACTGGAAATCAAACCTGGGGCCTCTGCAAGAGCAGCCAGTGCCCTTAACGACTGAGCCATCTCTCTAGCCCCTCTCTCCTATTATCTTGAACAAGGGGATTGCTATGTACGGTGTCCTGTTTTGTTGGGATACCACACTGGGACCCATGGGGCCACCCTCTGACTTGAGGGTGGTGGCCCACTGAAGACCCCCACCAAGTAGCCATGTCTTTAGACCCTGGTGGCTTCCCCAGCTCCCTTTGGAAGGGATGCTGGCAGTGTTGACCCAAACCTTACCCGGTGCACTCTCCTGTAGCCAGGCGAGGGGGTGGGCCTTGTTAACAAGGCCGCCCTCTCTGAGCAACAACCCTCTTTTCCTTTTGACTGGCCTCCTGAGTTTGAAGTCCTTTTCCTGCTTGTTCTCCATGCAACTCCCAGGAGCTACTTCTGAAGTGGCTGGCTCCAAGGAGCTCAATGGACATGAGGACCTGCTTCTGCCAGCCTCCCCTTTGCTTATGACAGTGACCCTAAGCACAGCCAACCAGCAGCCCACAGGACATGCTGGGGTCGGTGTTGCCATTCTGAACACTGTGGGGATGAGGAGTGGGCCACACTAATGTGTATTTGCCTAGAGCTTTTGGCTACATATAAGGTGTACAGGGCTGGGGAGATGACTCAGATCATCTGAGTCTTTGCCACACAAGTGTGAGGACCTGAGTTCCATTCCCAGAACCCCCATTAAAAAATAAAAAGTAGCCAGTCATGGTGGCACGCTCGCATTTAATCTCGGCACTCAGGATGCAGAGGCAGATGAATCACTGTGAGATTGAGGCCAGCCTGATCTACATAGTGAGTTCCAGGCCAACTGGGGCTATAGGGAAACATTGTCTCAAAAAGACCAAAAAATAAAATAAGTGGAGCATATGGTGCATTCCTCTAATCCTAACCCTGGGGAGGTGGAGACAGGCTAGGCCTAGCTGGGGAGCACCAGGTTCAGTGAGAGATCCAGGCTCTCAGTCAGAGAGCCATAGGGGAAGACAGCTGATGTCCACCTCTGACCTTCACAAATACATGTACATGCACAAAAGAAGGTGCACAAATGTGTTTGTCATGTGAATCACACACCCTCTTAGCATCATAAGGGTGTTTGGCACAGCCAGGCTGGGGAGCATCAGTACAGAGCTAAGTGGTGGCTGCTGAGGGCCTTTGGACTGGAACAAATCTGGGCTCGTTACTTTCCGCTGTCAGACAGCAGCTCTGGCGGATCCTTAACGTCTGTGGATTTAGCAGCTGAGTAGATTTGTGGCAGTTCTAGGGGCTCGAGTGTTTGGGCCAGAGCCTATCAGTCATACTCCATAGCCCCTCCATTCCAGCTGTGCTCCCCACCTGCTGGGCCCCAGCCTGCACTGTGTCCCCAGGCTCTGGGACTGAGAGTTACTGTGGCTGGGGACACTGGATATGTTGGCCCTCCTCAGAGGACAGCAAGATACTCTGCAACTGCTACACAACACCCTCTGGCAGGGTCTACCTGTCTGAGAAGCGGATTCAACAAGCTGAGGAGACCACCTATGTGGGTAGCTTGTCCTTAAATCTTCACCAGTGAGCCTGGCTAGGCCATCTTGTGACTATTGTCTTCTGTTCTCTTCTTGTGACCCAGTGTGTCTTTGGAGACTCAGGCTTGGTGGGTGTGGCCCTGCCAACTCCTGGGAGCTTTGTAGAGGATGGCAATGGAGGCTCCATGTCCAAAGATCTCCCATTCCACTGACAGTGAGGTGACCTTGTCCTCTGAGGGCCTGCCCAGATACCTTCTCCATTCTCTCATATG